TCTGCTTCTCGCTCTTCTTTGCGCTGCTGTGCTTCTTGCTCTTCTTTGCGCTGCTGTGCTTCTCGCTCTTCTTTGCGCTGCTGTGCTTCTCGCTCTTCTCGCTTCAGTTGTGCTTCCAGCTGCAACTTCATTATTTCCAGCTTAACGCTGTGCCTGCTGCCGCTGGACCCCCTGCTGCTTCCACCAATACTCAGGTGTTCTCCCACACTAGCAGGTGTTTGGGGCCGTTCCTCCCCCAAAGCTTCGTCTCGTGCCCTGAGCTGTGCCATTATCTCCAGTCTTCTTTCTCCCACTCTGGCAGATCTCAGCTTTATTCCAAAATGGTCTGCTATTGCCTGTAACTGTGCCTTGGTGCACTCCTCCAGCACCTGTTCATCTCTAGTGTCAATAAACCTTGTTACTTTATCATCCTCCATCTTGTGCTACGAGTGATAACCTGCACCTGATCTCTAATACCACTGCCAACTACCACCACTGCAACCTTTATTTCGATCGATATCCTGGCGAGGTCGCCAATGTTGGGGTTTACCTTTTACTCTTACTCTGGGTGAGCAACCGTTACGCTCAACGTCACTCACCATAGCCCTGCGGGTCTTCACTCTAATCCTCTCGGCGCCACTGCATGCCAGGAGCGTATCCCAGTCAATCCCAACCGGCCTCTGATTGAGAAGGAGTGGGAACACAACTCGTTCACTTAACTGTTATGCGCCCGCCCCAACAATAGGGCTTTACTATTAACAACAAGGTCGCCAACTGGTGTTTTCGGTGTCCAGTAACACGTCAGTGGACTGGTTGAATTTGTGGTATCCTTGGCAAGGTCACACTCAATAGATCGGGAATCAGGCAGGTACTTACTTTTATCACTCTTCGCTCTCAAGTATAATATAGCCACAAGATAAATGGAGGGGATGATATAAAGACAAAAGTATTTTGTATTTTACTTAAAATTCATTCAAAGATGTCACGAGGTCATATCAATAAACAATCAACTGATCCAGGCGGGAGTCGGTTGTTCCCACGTATATTATGCACTCACTACGGTGGCAACACTCCCCCTCTCGTCAATGTCACGATCAGCTGAGCGCCCCCCTTTCCGAGCGAAATTTTATTGCTTGTTTCTCTAGCGGCACGCGCGCTGTTTCTTTAAGTTCTCAATGATCACTAGAAGTTCGTACACTCGATATTTGCAACAATAGCACATATTACTTCACTACACCGTACTTGGCCTCAAACAATCGTTTCTATAATAAATGCGACAATAATTCACTATAATGGTTTTACACACCGCCCTTCATTTCAATGGTAACTTATGAAGTATTTGACACTGGAGTTCTCAGTACTTCCTTTCGTGGGCGATTACACAATAAATCACTGCCCTCTCAAATGGTTGATCAATGCACGAACACAGACATATATAATATAGATATATCAGACATCAATAAATGGTATATAAATAGTTACTGGGCACATAGCCTAACTTCCACATACTGACATAATATTATATATAATTTCTCACTATATGTTCACATCAAAGTCTCATGAAAGAATTCTCAACACAGTAAATTCATCACTTAATCCGAGTGCCTGTACACACCAATAATAATATATATAAGTATCGTGAGTACTCTTGATAGTACTATTCTGCACACTGGTGCCTTACTGTGACATAGGTGAGACTTGCTCACGACATACAAAATCCTCAGGCTAAATAATATAGCTGAATAATATAGCTGACTAAAGGGGAATGGGGAGGGAAACTAGAAACACCTACTTCCACCTATCCTCCGATGAGAGTTGAGTTGTAGCTCCTGGTCCTCGTGTCGGGAACGCCCCCACACACACGTTGTCGTGTCCTCCAGGAACCCAATCGCTGTCCCACCGTTTAGCGTGTCGTCTCCGTGCCTTCTTCCCTGCAGGTCCGTGCTCCTCCTCGACTTCTTGTAGGGTTGGAGTCGGTCTCCTGGCCGTCGACCTCTCCCAGCTACGGCTGTCTGCCTACTTCTCGGCTGCAGTCGTCCGGATTCCCAAATAGTCCTCGTCTTCCTCTGCTACCCAGTGGCTCTGGTCAGCCACTACGCCGTCACGAATGGGTGAACTACCTCAGACGTCGACTACGTCACTGCACAGACTTCACTTCTTCTTGCACAGTACCTGTCCTGGAGCACTTGTTGCTCAATAACCGTCGATTCCCTCTCTGGTTCAACACATGAACTAAGGAAGACCTCACAGAGTACTGGCAGACTTCAGGTGACGCGTAAAATCCACGGGAGCGGGAAACAACTGTCAAACTGACAGGACCAATTGTCGCACGTCCAACCTCCTTGACGTGTCGTGTCTGACTGATGGCGCCAACGCCGCGCTGCCCGGACCCCCTTTACTTCGTGACGTCACTTTCGCCACGGGAGGTTTTCATTGGCTCCCTGTACCACATTGCTGTCGGTGACCAATCCGGTGTCACTGACGTCACACAGTTTTGGCGGGGAAACAGGAGAGCCAGCGCCATCTTGGCTTCCTAAAGGGCCTAAACCACAGGCCAAAATATCATTGTTTCACAAATTTCTCGGCACTCCGAGCACACTCCTTCCTCCCACATATATCAAATTGATACCTGCGACGTAGAGAACGCTTGGGTAAAGTGGACATGACTCTTACTGCAGGCGTGGGAGAAATATAAGGGGGGGAACACCGTCACAGTGAGAAAGGTTGAATGGTCCCAATGCCAATAAATGACAAAGAACTCTACGACCAGACCAGGATTCGCATCTGCGTATCCAGGGATCGACCCACTCAATCATTCCAGCAGAATATGGGCGATAAAAACACACAACTAAAAGTTTTGCTTTATGTTATTTTAAAAGGTAATATAAAACACAGAAAATTTTAAACAATATTTTTTTTAATTCGAATCCCTATATAATAAACTATATGATAAAACTTCTCATAATGTAATATTCATCATTATTCAGCTGATATTTTACTGATATGTTGATAATAGTCTACATCATTAGACTACTGTCAGTGTAGGTCACATCATTAGACTACTGTCAGTGTAGGTCACATCATTAGACTACTGTCAGTGTAGGTCACATCATTAGACTACTGTCAGTGTAGGTCACACATTAGACTACTGTCAGTGTAGGCCACACATTAGACTACTGTCAGTATAGGTCACACATTAGACTACTGTCAGTGTAGGTCACACATTAGACTACTGTCAGTATAGGTCACACAATAGACTACTGTCAGTGTAGGTCACACATTAGACTACTGTCAGTGTAGGCCACACATTAGACTACTGTCAGTGTAGGTCACACATTAGACTACTGTCAGTGTAGGTCACATCATTAGACTTCTGTCAGTGTAGGTCACATCATTAGACTACTGTCAGTGTAGGTCACATCATTAGACTACTGTCAGTGTAGGTCACATCATTAGACTACTGTCAGTGTAGGTCACATCATTAGACTACTGTCAGTGTAGGTCACATCATTAGACTACTGTCAGTGTAGGTCACATCATTAGACTACTGTCAGTGTTGGTCACATCATTAGACTACTGTCAGTGTAGGTCACATCATTAGACTACTGTCAGTGTAGGTCACATCATTAGACTACTGTCAGTGTAGGTCACATCATTAGACTACTGACAGTGTAGGTCACATCATTAGATTACTGTCAGTGTAGGTCACATCATTAGACTACTGTCAGTGTAGGTCACATCATTAGACTACTGTCAGTGTAGGTCACATCATTAGACTACTGTCAGTGTAGGTCACATCATTAGACTACTGTCAGTGTAGGTCACATCATTAGACTACTGTCAGTGTAGGTCACATCATTAGACTACTGTCAGTGTAGGTCACATCATTAGACTACTGTCAGTGTAGGTCACATCATTAGACTACTGTCAGTGTAGGTCACATCATTAGACTACTGTCAGTGTAGGTCACACCATTAGACTACTGTCAGTGTAGGTCACACCATTAGACTACTGTCAGTGTAGGTCACATCATTAGACTACTGTCAGTGTAGGTCACATTATTAGACTACTGTCAGTGTAGGTCACATCATTAGACTACTGTCAGTGTAGGTCACATCATTAGATTACTGTCAGTGTAGGTCACATCATTAGACTACTGTCAGTGTAGGTCACATCATTAGACTACTGTCAGTGTAGGTCACATCATTAGACTACTGTCAGTGTAGGTCACACCATTAGACTACTGTCAGTGTAGGTCACATCATTAGACTATTGTCAGTGTAGGTCACATCATTAGACTACTGTCAGTGTAGGCCGAGGTCTACACTGAGTAGACCTCAGTGTAGTGGGCAACATTAGACTACTATTAGTGTAGGCCACATATTGGACTGTTCTCAGTGTAGGCCACATCATTAGACTACTGTCAGTGTAGACCACATCATTTTACTACTATTAGTGTAGGCAATATATTAGACTGCTCTCAGTGTAGGCCACATCATTAGACTCTCAGTGTAGGCCACACCATTAGACTACTGTCAATGTAGGTCACATCACTAGACTGTCAGTGTAGACCTCACCATTAGACTACTGTCAGTGTAGGTCACATCACTAGACTGTCAGTGTTGGTCACATCACTAGACTGTCGGTGTAGGTCACATCACAAAACTCTCAGTGTGGGTCACATCACTAGACTGTCAGTGTAAGCCACACCATTAGACTACTGTCAGTGTAGGCCACATCACTAGACTGTCGGTGTAGGTAACATCACAACACTCTCAGTGTTGGACACATCACTAGATTGTCAGTGCAGGTTACATCATTAGACTGTCAGTGTAGGTCACATCACTAGACTGTCAGTGTGGGCCACATCACTAGACTGTCAGTGTGGGCCACATCACTAGACTGTCAGTGTGGGCCACATCACTAGACTGTCAGTGTAGGCCACATCACTAGGCTGTCAGTGTAGGTCACATCACTAGACTACTAAACCTTGAGCTCATCACGTGTTCCTCCCAAAACAGTGCTGATCTGCGCCTTTCTGCTGCATCAGCACCACCGCCGCTCTGCGCTGCGCAGAGGCGCCGCTGACAACAAGGAAGACGCCGTCAGCTGTGATCAACAGGTTTCCCCGCCCTGCAACAACACGCCCAACCTGCTGGAGCTGCAACTGTTGACGCCGCCCAAAGCCAACGGTCAGCCTGCCTGGACCAAGAACCCCAACATAGCAGGTATGTGGCCCTCCCCCCCCCCTACCAGCCTGGACCAAGAACCCCAACATAGCAGGTATGTGGCCTTCCCCCCCCCCCCTACCTGCCTGGACCAAGATCCCCAACATAGCAGGTATGTGACCCTCCCCCCCCCTACCAGCCTGGACCAAAAACCCCAACATAGCAGGTATGTGGCCCTCCCCCCCTACCAGCCTGGACCAAGAACCCCAACATAGCAGGTATGTGGCCCTCCCCCTACCAGCCTGGACCAAGAACTCCAGCATAGCAGGTATGTGGCCCCCTTCTACCAGCTTGGACCATAAACCCCAATATAGCAGGTATGTCGTCCCCCTACCCGCCAGGACCAATAACCCCAACATAGCAGGTATGTG